ATATATATACACACACATATATATATACTATGTATGCTGTAATATAAACTCCTAAATATGCTGTATTTATACCTCTTACAGAATACTAATGTAAATGCTGAATGTGCCATTTTGATTCTTTACATTCTGTGATCAACAGGCAGAGTTGGAACCCGTTAATGCCCTAAAAACAATTATGACTTTGTTTGAGATAAGTGAACAATATCTAATATACTTAAATGAAATAAAATCTCTAACTATAGCATAATAATGAAGCAAGTCTAAAATCTATAACTTAAGCATTATAATACTGTGCTGTACAATACCAATACAACGTCTGTATATGATACAGACAAACAGCAACAATTCTTGACATGGGACTCTTTCATGGATCCAAGTTCTTAACTGATCAAAAATACTTGAGTTAAAAAAAGGTGGGGTTATTTTAGTCCACAACCCTTTGTTACTACACCTACTTGGCTCTGGTTGCTTCCCCAGAAGGACTCGGGATAATGCGATTACAGGTTTATGATGGAGAAAATCCTCTTACGAGTTTGTCAACAGAAACCAAGCAGCCAAAACAGTTTCACTTCACAGGAGACCTCTGCAGAAGGAGGTTCTGCTTCCATCGCCTCTTCTGTCTTTAAAAAGTTCTCAAAATGTCCAAAGTTATTTTTTGGATAGCTTCTTTGGTAGTTTTGGGAAATGTCGTCTTTGCTCAAACCACATTTTCTTCCAGCCTCATGGTTGATATGGCAAAAATTGTCATGGACAATTACTGCTCTCCGGAGAAGTTAGTGGGAATGAAGGAGGCGATTGGATCTGCGAGCGGCAACACAGCAATCCTGAACATTCCAGATGCAGAATCCTTAGCTCGAGTCCTCAGCGCAGGAGTCCGAGGTACTGTCAGCGACCCACGCCTGGAGGTCACCTACGAGCCAAACTATGTTCCTGCAGTTCCACAACAGATGCCTCCACTACCACCAGAGCAGCTGGTGGCAGTGCTGCAGACCTCAATCAAGCTCGACATCCTGGAAGGTAACATTGGCTACCTGAGGATTGACCACATTCTTGGCGAAGAGGTGGCTGATAAAATCGGTGCGTTACTCCTTGAGTTAGTCTGGAGTAAAATACTGCCTACCTCAGCTCTGATATTTGATTTGCGCTACACTGGCAGTGGAGACGTCTCTGGACTTCCTTACATCGTGTCATATTTTACACAAGCTGAACCCGCAGTTCACATCGACAGCATCTATGACCGTAAGTCAAACACCACCACCAAGCTCATGTCCCTGTCCACGCTGCTGGGGGAGAGATACGGGACGAGCAAACCCCTCATTATCCTCACAAGCAAAAACACAAACGGCATCGCAGAAGACGTTGCTTATTGTCTCAAGAACCTGAAGAGAGCCACCATAGTGGGCGAGAAGACGGCCGGGGGATCAGTGAAGATTGACAAGATCAAAGTTGGAGACACAGACTTTTATGTCACCGTGCCAACCGCTAAATCCATCAACCCCATCACTGGCTCCACTTGGGAGGTTGTTGGTGTTAGTCCCGATGTAGAAGTTAATGCTGAGGATGCCCTGGCTACGGCCATTAAGATTGTTCAACTTCGAGCCCAGGTCCCAGCTGTTGTTGAAGGTGCAGCAGCCCTCATTGCAAGCAACTATGCCTTTGAAGATGTTGGAACGGCCGTGGCAGCTAAACTGAAGGGGCTACAGGCAATTGGGGCCTTTAACATGGTTGTATCTAAGACCGACTTGGAAACTAAATTAACTGCTGTTTTGGAATATCTCTCTGGTGGCAAGAGTCTAAAAACAACCAGTAACACTCCAGCACTGCCACCAATGGTAATTTTCTCTCTAATTTTAATACATTTTTTACATATTGCTGATGGTATTCTGTCAAAAACCTTTCTTCCTTGTGTTTTCCCACTAGAATTATTCACCTGAGATGTACATCGATCTGATTAAAGTGTCCTTCCAAACCAATGTCTTTGAAAACAACATTGGTTATCTGCGATTTGACATGTTCGGTGACTTTGAAGAGGTGAAGGCCATCGCCCAGATTATTGTCGAACACGTTTGGAACAACGTCGTCAACACTGACGCCATGATTGTGGATCTCAGGTTGGTAATCCCATCTTTCAACTGTGGTGCGGCTTCTATTTCAGAATGTAGATCGCTAAAGACTAGAGACTAGAGACTGAAGACAAAGGGGGTGACAGTAGTTCAGTTGGTAGAGCGTTGGCGTTTGAGCCTAAAGGTCGTAGGTTCGAGCCACACAACTTTCTCCACACAACGTTTTGTCCTTGGCAAGACACTTAACCTCTGGGAACAGCAGGTGCCACAGTGGGGCGGCTGCGGCTGTAAAGTGCCAAACTGCCCTATTGTCCTTAGGAAAGACACTTCACCCCCATTGCCTAGAATGAATCTGATGTGTGTGTGAATGGTTGGTGGTTGTGGGAGGGGCTGATGGCACAGACTGGTTGCCTCGTTTCTGTCAGTGTGCCCCAGGGCAGCTGTGGCTACAGTAGTAGTTTATCACCACCGTGTCCAAAAAAGCGCTGTATAAAACCAATGGATTATCATTAAATGACTAGAGACTAAAGACTAAAACTACAACTAAAACTACAGAACATTTATGGTCACACTTTAGTTTAGCCCTCACTAGATAAAAGCTAATTAAGTGCTAATTGACGTATAATTTATGGTTAATTAGCTCCTAATATTGATTAAGCACCTATTAGTCCTTATTATGCATGGCCTTTTCAATGACTACTGAATCTTTCCCATGGGGGTTAGGGTTAGGGATGGTCAGCGTTAGGGCTAGGGCTTGGATTAGGGTTGGGGTCCACTAATTAGCATTTATGTTAATCAGTGAGGGATCATCTAAAATGCTCCCACATCTATGTTTTAGGTCTTCTTCTATCCTTAGAATGTACAAACTTTCTAACATAACATCTGACTTTGCAGGAACAACATTGGAGGCCCTACCACCGCCATTGCAGGGTTTTGCTCTTATTTCTTTGATGGCGACAAGCAGATTGTACTGGACAAACTGTACGATCGGACCACCGGAGAAACCACAGAGCTGGTCACGCTGCCTGAACTCACCGGTAATTAATTATACATAATCTCAACCTTGCTTTCACCTGTAAACATATTTTGACATAGTAAATAATGTATATTCTATCTCTAACTACCAATCTATCAATATATCTCTATCTACTTGTCTACGCACTCTCCTCATTCTGTCTCTATCTCCGTAATTTTTCAGGCACAAGATATGGCTCCAAAAAGAGTTTGATTATTTTGACAAGTCCAGCGACCGCAGGGGCTGGAGAGGAGTTCGTCTACATCATGAAAAAACTTGGGCGCGCCATGATCGTTGGAGAGACCACCTCCGGATCGTCCCACCCAGCCAAGACCTTCCAGATCGGAGAGAGCGACTACTTCCTCAGCATCCCCACGGTGCACTCCGACACCTCCGCTGGTCCAGCCTGGGAGGGGGCCGGCATCTCCCCACACATCCCAGTCTCCGCCTCTAAGGCCCTGGACGCCGCACTGGCGATTCTCAACAAGCACATGGCTGGACAGAAATAAACACAGGCCAAGGAGTTAGTTTTACACTGGCAGACAAATGATTCAGGATTTAGATTTTTGAGGAAATTAATATTGATTGATACTAGGGGTGAGAATTGGCAAAAATGTGATGATTGTGAATATTGCGATATTTGGGCCAATATTATTGCGATTCTGAACATATCGCGATACAACAGGTATTATGATTCAATTCTGCGATATATTGCGATACATGTCCCTCATATTATTTAAAGGTATGACAAAAATGGAGGAAAATAAGACTCAACTCACATTTATTATGATCTGCACATGAAGCAAACAGATAATTATATCGCGATACTTGGCTACTGTCTCGATTTGATTGCATGTGCGAAATATGGTTATACTGAAAAGAATCGATTTTCCCTCCCATTACTAAAATGATTTTGTGAAAACATAAAAGCAACACAATAGAAACAACCTTTTACCTTCACGACAACACAAAAATGATTCAAATTGAATGTAAGAATTACCCCGTTATCAAACGGCAAACAGTGTGTGTTGTGTCTATATTGTGTTTCATGTCAAACGGTGGACAATAAAAATGTTGTAACAAACTGTTTTTTTATTTCAGACCGAAAACTTCATTCCTTTAATTTATTCATGATTAACGTTTAAGTAAGTCAAGTTTATCTATATATTTTAAATTGTTGTGGCCTTTGTCTCTCCACATACAGGAGGCACATGCCAGAACTAATGCACATGTTTTTAGTGGTAAGCGAAACCGGAGCACCTTGAGAAAACCCACGCAGACACGGGGAGAACATGCAAACACCACACAGAGAGCAGGTGGACTCGAACCCTGGACCAAAGTGTGGGAATTGAGTTCACATATTTACAATTCAACCAACTCTGTGTGTAAAGTTTCCAGTTCAGAGCCACATAAACGCAAACAGATTGACTATTATTTGATGTTTAGTCTATAATTAGTTGGCACTTCCCTCACACACCAGCAGGTTGTGGGGAGGAGGGAGGGCCAAAAATGGGATGTTGACCCATTTTTTGCAGCTTCTCTCCTCCTCGCACTGAAATTTGACACCTGGTCCATTTCAGGCACGTCTGTCCCCCAGGCCGCAGTTCCTCCAGCGCATTTCTGCACACGCATTCACTTCAGACTTACTCTCAGTAAAACTCACAGTGCAGCTTGAGTGAAGAGATTATTTTTAACGTTACAGGATTAGCCTCGTCTGCATGACTTTGGAACCTCTGTCTATTCCCCCACGTTAGGCTGATGTGGGCAGAGACCTGGCTCACACTGGCAGCATCTTTTGTCTTCATCCGCTGAGGAGACATTTCTTCCAGGACTTATTCCGAGACAGAGACACAGAGACAGAGACACAGACAGAGACAGACATGAGGAGTCGTGTGTTATCGCGGGTTCCGTTCCTTTTGGCGATGCTGGGATTATTTCTGCTGAGTTCTTCATCTGCAAAAGCCGAGCCAGAGCTGCCCGAGGAGGAGGAAGAGGAGGAGGAGGAGGAGAGCTCATGTCAAGGAGCGTTTGACCTCTATTTCGTGCTGGATAAGTAAGTTAACAACAAAAACATTAGCATTAACTAAAGCATTCAAGATCAATACTTTATTTTTTATCAACTCTGCTTCTTACCTGTTGACTACACATCGACTCATGCACACGTCTGTTCGGTTGTTCGATTATAATTGTGGTGTAAGCGTGTGTTTTGGTTGAATTTGTAATTAGTCGTGTTAATTAATGGCGCCCTTTTCACTTCAAAGGGCTCCAGGTTTGCCGCTGCTGCACGCGCGCTGTCCTGTTTGCTGAATAAGCAAAAGAGCTCCCATTGACTTACATGCATTGACTTTATTTAGTTATTTTTAGGGTTTTTTTTGTTCAGCAGATTGATGAAAAATAACCACCAGCCTCCTGTATATGTAGAATATCAAAATAAACTTTTATTTTATTTTCAAACCAAACTTTATGAGACGAATCAGGACCAGTTTGAAAGAGCCCCATTTGAAATTGAATTAGAAAAAAGTGTTTAATGAAATCTAAGCCACTTTAATAAATTTAATAAACCCCCATTTTTCAAAGTAATGCACACTAAAGGACTAAAACCTGATTTAAAAATGACAGTAAAATATTCCAAATCAAACAGGGTACAACAAAATACATTCAATTCAATGTATTTTTGTATTGCCCTAAATCTCAACAGTTTTTTTTTTTTTCACTTTACAAAGCTGTCGATTTATCAACACAGATCAGAGAAAAACAAACGCCATTGGTCCAAAAGAGGCAGAGACCGATGTCCATAAATGTTGATTGTGGAGTGTCCTGGATCCTTGGACCCTCCTGATAGAGATGTAAATACAACAATAAAACAAGACAAAAGGACCTTCCAACTCATGCAGAATACTTGGATTTTGATTGTATTCAGTATGGAAGTCCCTAACTCCAATTTTAAGAGATATTTCCCTCATTTTAAATTTACTTTAGAATTGTTTCAGAACCTGAATTATGTTTAATGCAACTAACAGAGAGTAACAAACTAGGAATTTGCTTTGGCATATGACGGACGAGTACAAAAGATCGTTACTTCTCATGATTGAACCACAATCTTTCACAGAATAATGATTTCATGTTTGATCTTTGCCTAATAATAGAAAATAATAATAACAACAACTCAATAAAGGCTTATTTATATTTAGTGCCACAGTGGGGCGGCTGCGGCTGTAAAGTGACGGTTGTCCTTAGGCAAGACACTTCTGCGGCTGTAAAGTGGTGGTGGGAGGGGCCGATGACGTCTTGTGACTCTATAATGCCTGATTGTTGTGACTCTGTGACGTCTTGTTGTGACTCTATGACGTCTTGTTGTGACTCTATGGGGTCTGCTTGTTGTGACTCTGATGTCTGCTTGTTGTGACTCTATGATGTCTGCTTGTTGTGACTCTATGATGTCTGCTTGTTGTGACTCTATGATGTCTGCTTGTTGTGACTCTATGAGGTCTTGTTGTGACTATATGAGGTCTTGTTGTGACTCTATGACGTCTTGTGACTCTATGACGTCTTTTGTGACTCTATGACGTCTTGTGACTCTATGACGTCTTGTTGTGACTCTATGATGTCTGCTTGTTGTGACTCTATGAGGTCTTGTTGTGACTCTATGAGGTCTTGTTGTGACTCTATGATGTCTTGTTGTGACTCTATGATGTCTGCTTGTTGTGACTCTATGAGGTCTTGTTGTGACTCTATGAGGTCTTGTTGTGACTCTATGACGTCTTGTGACTCTATGACCTCTTGTTGTGACTCTATGACGTCTTGTGACTCTATGACGTCTTGTTGTGACTCTATGATGTCTGCTTGTTGTGACTCTATGAGGTCTTGTTGTGACTCTATGAGGTCTTGTTGTGACTCTATGATGTCTTGTTGTGACTCTATGATGTCTGCTTGTTGTGACTCTATGACGTCTTGTTGTGACTCTATGACGTCTTGTTGTGACTCTATGACGTCTTGTTGTGACTCTATGAGGTCTTGTTGTGACTCTATGACGTCTTGTTGTGACTCTATGACGTCTTTTGTGACTCTATGACCTCTTGTTGTGACTCTATGACGTCTTGTTGTGACTCTATGACGTCTTGTTGTGACTCTATGATGTCTGCTTGTTGTGACTCTATGAGGTCTTGTTGTGACTCTATGACGTCTTGTTGTGACTCTATGACGTCTTTTGTGACTCTATGACGTCTTGTTGTGACTCTATGACGTCTTGTTGTGACTCTATGAGGTCTTGTTGTGACTCTATGAGGTCTTGTTGTGACTCTATGACGTCTTGTTGTGACTCTATGACGTCTTGTTGTGACTCTATGACGTCTTGTTGTGACTCTATGATGTCTTTTGTGACTCTATGACCTCTTGTTGTGACTCTATGATCTCTGCTTGTTGTGACTCTATGAGGTCTTGTTGTGACTCTATGATGTCTTGTTGTGACTCTATGATGTCTGCTTGTTGTGACTCTATGACGTCTTGTTGTGACTCTATGACGTCTTGTTGTGACTCTATGAGGTCTTGTTGTGACTCTATGATGTCTTGTTGTGACTCTATGATGTCTGCTTGTTGTGACTCTATGACGTCTTGTTGTGACTCTATGACGTCTTGTTGTGACTCTATGACGTCTTGTTGTGACTCTATGAGGTCTTGTTGTGACTCTATGACGTCTTGTTGTGACTCTATGACGTCTTTTGTGACTCTATGACCTCTTGTTGTGACTCTATGACGTCTTGTTGTGACTCTATGACGTCTTGTTGTGACTCTATGATGTCTGCTTGTTGTGACTCTATGAGGTCTTGTTGTGACTCTATGACGTCTTGTTGTGACTCTATGACGTCTTTTGTGACTCTATGACGTTGTTGTGACTCTATGACGTCTTGTTGTGACTCTATGAGGTCTTGTTGTGACTCTATGAGGTCTTGTTGTGACTCTATGACGTCTTGTTGTGACTCTATGACGTCTTGTTGTGACTCTATGACGTCTTGTTGTGACTCTATGATGTCTTTTGTGACTCTATGACATCTTGTTGTGACTCTATGATGTCTGCTTGTTGTGACTCTATGAGGTCTTGTTGTGACTCTATGATGTCTGCTTGTTGTGACTCTATGAGGTCTTGTTGTGACTCTATGAGGTCTTGTTGTGACTCTATGAGGTCTTGTTGTGACTCTATGACGTCTTGTTGTGACTCTATGAGGTCTTGTTGTGACTCTATGATGTCTTGTTGTGACTCTATGATGTCTGCTTGTTGTGACTCTATGACGTCTTGTTGTGACTCTATGACGTCTTGTTGTGACTCTATGACGTCTTGTTGTAACTCTATGAGGTCTTGTTGTGACTCTATGACGTCTTGTTGTGACTCTATGACGTCTTTTGTGACTCTATGACCTCTTGTTGTGACTCTATGACGTCTTGTTGTGACTCTATGACGTCTTGTTGTGACTCTATGATGTCTGCTTGTTGTGACTCTATGAGGTCTTGTTGTGACTCTATGACGTCTTGTTGTGACTCTATGACGTCTTTTGTGACTCTATGACGTCTTGTTGTGACTCTATGACGTCTTGTTGTGACTCTATGAGGTCTTGTTGTGACTCTATGAGGTCTTGTTGTGACTCTATGACGTCTTGTTGTGACTCTATGACGTCTTGTTGTGACTCTATGACGTCTTGTTGTGACTCTATGATGTCTTTTGTGACTCTATGACCTCTTGTTGTGACTCTATGATGTCTGCTTGTTGTGACTCTATGAGGTCTTGTTGTGACTCTATGATGTCTGCTTGTTGTGACTCTATGAGGTCTTGTTGTGACTCTATGAGGTCTTGTTGTGACTCTATGAGGTCTTGTTGTGACTCTATGACGTCTTGTTGTGACTCTATGAGGTCTTGTTGTGACTCTATGAGGTCTTGTTGTGACTCTATGAGGTCTTGTGGTGACTCTATGACGTCTTGTTGTGACTCTATGACGTCTTGTTGTGACTCTATGAGGTCTTGTTGTGACTCTATGAGGTCTTGTGGTGACTCTATGACGTCTTGTTGTGACTCTATGACGTCTTGTTGTGACTCTATGACGTTGGCTCTTCCTGTCCTGTATGCATATGAAGGTGTCTTGTACTTTAAAAGGAGTTTGCCGCGTGATCTGAGGGAGAACTGATTTTGGAACCAAAGACAGAGCAGCACTTTCTGCAATGAAGGGTGGTGGCAATGAGAGCTGGACCCAATGCTAACAGCCCCGGTCCACAGGAAGATGGCCTGAGCCACCGTCGCCCCATTTTTGTTATGGGGCAATACTTGCTGTATCGCGATATGTTCAGAATCACAATAATATCGAATCCTCACATTTTGCAGATTCCCAGCCCTTTGTTTTTAGGAAGGAGGTTCAAGCTCGGACAGAAACTTTGGAAAATAAACCTCTGTAGTGATTTTAACAGACCTCTCACAATGATCAAAGACAGAACTGGTCCACAGCAGGCTCTGTCACATGGCCAGAAGGAAAAGTTTAAATGACAACAAACGACTTGTCCGATCTTGAACTGGTTTCCTGGATTTCAAACCGGACAAGACACAGTTGTTTTCCAGATGTGGAGCTGTTTTTGGCCTGCACTGTCCTGTAAACACTGACACATGCTTCGAATAAGGAAACATCCTCTTTGTTTTAAACGTTTGCTGCTATTGTTAGTCCGTCTGTGCAGAGTTTTTCTGCCCTCTCAGGTCGTGACTAAAAAGGATTAGCCAACACAGGACTTCATACCAGCGGAAGCTCATCGGCCTCTCCTGCAGCCCACCATCTCTCCCTCAGGCCTTTAGTTTGTGTTCTTAAAGATCTAAGAGAGATCTAAGACATTTGATAGATTTAAGAGATGCTTTCATCATCCCACAGTCAGTGTTGCATCACCAGTTATTGTGCCTTTCACAGTCACAAAGCACTTTAAAATTGTTGTTTTATAGACATGTTTTAGTGGAAGTGGAAACCGGAGAAACTTGAGGAAAACTACGCAGACACAAAAAAACATGCAAACGCCACTCAGAAAGTT